CCGTAGGGGCTCAATCATCTGCCAATAGACACAGAGTCAAAGTTATCATACAGTTCTCTCGATTCTTCCTTATTAATCTGCAAATTTTTTTTGTCTTTTTCATTTTTATCGGTACCAGGGATCGAACTCACAACTGCCTGCTTGCAAGGGAGGCGCTTATGCCACTGAGCTAAATCCCCAACCCCTTAATCTGCAAATATTCCAACTTCCTGGACCTTCAGTACTTGAACTCAGGCAAGTTCCTTCACATGCAGTCATCCCTGGTAGAAGCCAGGGATGCCTCTATTTGTAAGCAACCTAGAAGCCACAGAAAAACCACTTCTCTCTTACATGTCACTGGCTCTCTACTCCCAGTAACATCCTGTTTCTTACTAGTGAGACACTTTCAAATCCTTCTCTTTGGTCTGAGAACTATACCTGCATAAAGAATTTGGTTAGAGATGGATTTCACCAAATGCCTCTCAGGACGACTTTTCTGGCTAACAAGACTTGGTGACTGAGGTTGGTGGTCTTTAATTATGTTACTCTTAAAAGAACTTTCAACTATAGCCCACATCTTTTGGTGCTAGAACAATAAATGATGTTTTTATAGACTCTAAAGAGCCTGAAAATGAAGATTCCCAATTTCACTAACCATTTAGAACACGAAGAGAACTTGAAAACCCCTAGTCCAAATATAACCCTGGTCCAACTCTTTCATGAAAATGCACCCGGAAGAGCACAGGCAGAGCTGCTGGTCTGGACTCCTGGTTCAGTGCTCTTTCCCACTCTTTATAATGTTGCCCCAATCCCTTGCGCTGAAGCAGCTGCACCATCAAAAATGTCACACCAGTTATGACACAGTTGGTTATATAACTAGTATTGCAGAGAAAGCAAGGGGAAGAAGCCATGAACACGAACATCCCCTAGTCTCTGTGGTACGTAATGAAATAATTTCACATGGGAAGACAACACTCAATTAATCAATCAAAGGATAAAATCTAGAGATAACATTTGTATAATGGTTTCTGTGTTCTAGACACTGTTGTAAGTGCTCTTCATAAGTTAACTCATTTCATGTTCATGATAACCCCACTGAGAATTTCTTTTACCAGTGCCATTTCATTGGCAAGAAAACGGAAGTATCAAAAATTAAGTTACTATTTTAAAACCACTCATCTAGTTAGTGCAAGTACTGAGATTGGAAATCGAGTGTCTTGGTCGTGTAGTCAATGCTCTTAACCATTTTACAGTTTCAGAGTGGCATGCTAAAACTGCTTCTCTAAATAAGAAACCACTTATTCCTCTGAGCCAGTTAGCAGGTCACTGCTGTTTCCTTGTCCTCCTCTTCCTGTTAATCTGATTTGTTGGACAGTTTCCTTTTCATTGGTGCTATGTGTGAATTAGAGGGACAGAATAAGAATGGAACACAACTTTGAGCAAATTTCTAGAAGGCAGCTTATCTAAGCACGGTTAGGCTTTTCATTATGATGCCATCAATAAACATGACATGAAGTGCTGTTCTCACAGAATCTGTTTTAAAATCCATGTAGTAAGTACACACCCACACACGCATGTGAACATTCTCTTTTCTTTTTTCAAACTTAAAAACTGCTTTTGGCTAGTGTCAGTTCTGGGGCTAACCCAAAATGTTTTTCAAGCTTAGAATCATACTCTTTACCAATTTGTTTGTTGCCTTTCAGATCAAGATGGGTTCTTGTAATAATGGTCCATCTAGCTTAAGGAACTTGAAGAACATATCCTGGGAGACAAAGTCCCCAAATCCAGATGGGCTGAAGCACATGTCAAAAAACCAGGACCTTTGTCTACTCATATTAAAACTCCAGTGTTAAGAGATAGGTGCCGTGAGAAGCTAAAACACATGAGTGATCTTGTCCTGCTTCTTAACAGATATGGCATCCTAATAAGTACAATATAATCTGGCAGTTCCATATGCTAAAACAAAACAAAATTATGGCACTGTGATTCTGGGCACTGTAAATCTCATCCAGTGCCCCACATACAGAAAAGAAATTCTGGATTCCCACACCAATCTACGTGAAGCTTCACTCATTTAACAACCTAACTGGCAACAACCTTTTCCACAAGCATACAGGTTCTATTTCAGAATCCAATGAGTAGCTGAAGTTCAGAAATTCCATAGCTGACTTATAAGGAGATCAGGTGGACTGTTTGTTACTCTTCTAACAGGAAGGTCTGCTGGTATTTACAGCTCAGTGAACAGTAAGGAAGGAGACAGCCACATCCATCATCAAAGAAGAACTCATCTGCTACTTGATCTGACATTCTGCTCATGCTCATAGTCTCCTGAAAGCAAGGTGCATCCATTTGAATAAACATGGAGACAGAAGGAAGGGAGGCAGGCAATGCAGTCAACATGACAATTGCAGAAATAATAAGTTCACAAATCTAGAGGAATAGCTGTCAGTGGAATGCAATTACAACATATAACCTTTAGGTATGTTTGGGTTCACCCTTCTAGATGGCTGTAATTTCAGAGCTAAGACTGCAAGTTGACATGTGCCTCCACTAATGCCTACCACTTAGCAGGTACTGAACAGTAAATGACATGCTGAAAGGATACACAGGCTTGCCCCCAACCTGAACCAAATAGTAGATGCTCTGATTACAAAGCCAGGGTAAGCTAGGAAGAGGAAACCACCAGCTTTTTGTTATCAGGTCAACTTTTAGAGTGCCTTCCCTGACAGGGTGGGACCTGTAATTGTATCCCACATGTAAGGGCCAGAATGCTTGGACGCATTAGGGATATCTTCATCGGGCAAAGCCTTAAATTTGTATTAAAATAGTACTGAGCAGGTACCTTGAAAATAAATGCGTATCAGAAATGTTCCATTTAACGAGCAAGCAATGCCTTGCTACCACCTTTGAAATATCACTGAAAAATATACACACATATATATTAATGCTCTAAAGACAGCCTGAACTCAATATCCCAGTAAACTCAGGACCTCAAATGAGGGTAAGTGTGGTACCTTCCCAGGGAAGCTCTACAGTTCATTTGGTATTTTCATTATATACATAGTCCAAGCAGTTACAACTATTTGTTCTGAAGTGAGAAGTCAGTTAAAGTGATTCTATCTTGTAAAATATAGTTCTTTAGAAATTTCCTTTAAGACTGTGGTAATTCAATAAAAATGACACTTCCTTTAAAAGTTTTGTTAGTCTGAGTAACTAAGAGTCTAAGGGATTGAGTGCAAAATGACGAGGCTGTATTAAAGGTGAGGTTACAACAAGCAAAATTATTAAAAATGCCACGCACAAAAAAAGAGTCAATGATTACTCACAGTATGTGTGAAATTATACTTGTGTGATCTCAATCATCACTGTTTATTTCCCAGTACTGAAATGTTTTGGATTGGCCAAAACGAAGCTCCCAAACACTAATTCACAATCACATGTACAAAAGAAAAACCCAGAAAACTATGTTCAAGGGAAGTTAACTTTTAAAATAGTGTTGAGAATCAAATGTCTGAATACAATCTAATCTGTGACATCTCTGAAGCAGTTTCTCCTTTAACATGTATCAAGCAGAAAAATTTCAAAGGTCAGCTCTCTGCAATGTTCCTGGGCTGATGAGGATATTAACACTTCTAAGCAGCATCTGCCAGCTGGCCCTTTATCATTTAATTTCAGTTTCTACGTATTTTATGGAAGCCTAGTCCTTCTTCTAATTAGCACTCTACAACATGATAAGAATGCAGCCTAAATGGAATGACTCTTTGCTCTTCTGGAAACTGTAAAGTTTCAGCAGTATCTAAATATTGATATTCTTCCTCTTAACTCAATAGGTAGTTCTACTAATCCTCAATTCCCATTAGGAAGTCATTGGGTTCTCATAGGTTGTCACTCATAGAGGACTAATTTCATCTGGTCAGGTGAACAACACAGCATCTGAAGTCATTCATACATATGGCCTGATAGGTTGGTTGTCTATCATATTGCAGAGAAAAGTAGAAAACTGCTTTCTATAAGTGCTACCAAGATATTTAAGGCTGACTCCACACAGAAAATAACATCCTCCTGACTCAAAGTGACTGTCAGTGAAGTACTGATCTTAAAAGCCATGTCTGCAAATAAGGACTCAAAAGAATTTGTCATTAGGCTACAGTGACACCAAATCCTTCATTTTGTGGTTAACAAAACAGTCCTGTATCCAGCTTGGCAAAAAGCCCTAGTCTGATTTATTTTAAGCCATGCTGGAGGGCTCACAGGAAAAGCTGCCATTTGTCAATGCTTCAAGAGAACAGGATGCTAGGGTCCCTACTGGCAAAATTTACATGGACCAGACACCTTTCTGACCAGCCTTTTGAGCAAAACTAGCCTATTTCCTAAAGAGAGCTGGTGTACTCTATTTTCTTTTAAAGTAGAACTAACTTTTAAATTATAAAATCTGTTTTGCCTAACATTTTGTCCCAAAAGGTGCAGTGGGACTGAGGAAAGGGGGAAGTGCAAGAAAAAAAGAGGAACTGATTTGATTTCTAATGTAATGGTCTGGATTATCAAATACTGAAGACACAAAGGACTTTTCCCAGAAAGTTTACATACAGCCTTCGTTTAAGGTTTCCTGCCCTAGCACATAATCAGGAATTTTTATTCTAAAGTGGCACACCTATCTCCTCAGAGTACAGCTCTCTTTGAATAAAAAAGGCAAGGTATTCTTTGGGGGACTCAGTGTATATTTTTAAACTTCTTATTAAATCAACCTAATTTATGGGTCAGGTTCAAGAAAAGCAGGTAACCAGCGGCTTTGGCTGAGACAAAGTTAATTTGCAGGCCACTGCCACCCTCCTTTTACCTTTCTCCCCCCGCCCCAGTCCTTCGAGGGTTTCCGAATGACTTCGGACCTCTCCGCTACAGCCCCGACTCGGCTCCGAACAATCCCGAGTCCCTCCGAGCCCCGCGCCCAGGCCGCGCTGAGCCTAGCGGAGCACCACCTAGCTGAACCCCACAGACTTTTCCGGCCTCAGCTGGGCGCTGTCCACCACTCACAACGCCTGAAACCTCACCCAGCTCCGGAGTCCGGGGCTTCTACGAAGTTCGCAGCCCGCTACTGCTGATTACAGACTTTCAAACTTTTGAAACACTTTTTTAGGGAAGGAGCGGGAAGCGCGGGTTGCATTACCCAACCTGGAAAAGCTCCTGGCACAATCAACATGAACCTTGCTGCAAAAAGCAATTCCCCAGGCCCCGCCTCCCCATCCTTTTGGGTTGCACAAGCTTCAGAGAAGCCCTAGGCCAAGTTATCCGTGGCTCAGAAGGGTGCGGCAAGCTAGGGGCCTCAGTGAAGAAAGCCCCAGGGAGCTCTCGAACAAAAACAAGAACACGTCAAGCAGATGGGGGAAACTGCCTCGGAGCCGCTACTCCTTACCATCATGGCGCCGCCTGGAACCCGCTTGTCATGCCTGTTACACATGCAAGATTTTTGCTTCTGCTTCTGACACCTCAAGCATGCTTCGTCTCCCACCCACCTTCCCACGAAAGGAGTTTTTATTTTCCATTGTTTTCCTACGGGATGCAATTACTTCGGCTATTCTGTCAAGTTGAAAAATAATCATTTTTGTTTACTGCACAGCAGCCTCTAATTAGGAGCTTGTGTGTGCACGAAGGTGTCACAGCAAAGCGTCGTGGAATCTTAGCTAAACGATTTTAACGAACCCCTCTGTCCTGAACTGACAGGCCAACGGAAGCTGCAGGGCTTTGAGGCCCTGAGGGTGCGCACCCTTACCCAGCCGGCCATCCCCTCCCCAAGCAAAGCTGCCTGTGGGCTCGCCAGGAGCTACGGAGAGCACGGGACAAGAAGCAAGCCTGCAAGCGGGAAGGAGGAGCGAGGCTCCCTATTGAGAAAGTGTGGAAAGGAAGGAATATCCATTTTGTTTTAATTTTCAACCATCACTCAAATCCACCCCCAGTTAATTAGGTGGGGAAACTGATATCTAAGGCAGAAGGAGGCAGCCGGCAAGTGGGGCCCAAAATCCGCATTGTGGGTAGATTACACAGATTATATGGCCTTTGCAGAGTGTAAATGCACGCATTGATAAAGGCCACCAAGCAAACGAAAACTGCCCATGTCAAGGAAGCAAATGCCAGAAAGGTGGGGGAGCACAGGGGCCAGGGGCAGCACGGGGCGGGCATTCAGCCTCACAACCAGCTTCCCCTTCTTTCTTGGGTTTGGGTACAGCTGTGCCTCTCACATCCGCTTGGAAATCCACCCCTTCCCCTAGCACACGCCCCCTCCCCAACCCTCACGGGGGGGGGGCAGTAAAATCCACAGCCTCTAATTCAGCACCAAATACACGAACAGCAGACACTTGATCCTCCACCCCAGTTTAGGGCTGGGTCTCTTCCATGTTTTAGCCAAGTTCAAAATCACTGCCCTGTGAGAAGAGCAGGGGGACGTGGGATAATAGACACGGTGCAATGCTCAGAAGCAGATACAGAGACAGCATTAGAGACAGAAATGGTGGCAGAGAAACACAAGGAATACTCCACGAGCAAGAGTAATAATCATAACCATGCCAATAGTGTGATGTTCTGATCAATATGGCGGACACTGTCATTCATACAACTACAGGCGCTCCCCTTCCCTGCCCCCAAAAAACACCCACCCCAGGAGTTGGGGTGGAGGACCCAGAACCAATGTAGGAAGTGGGGGAGGGGACTCAAAGCCAGGTCTGTGTGTGTGTGTGTGTGCGTGTGTGTGTGTGTGTGCGTGTGTGTGTGTGTGTGTGTGTGTGTGTGTACGAATTAAAAGCCAGGCCTGGAGAGCAATGTGGAGTAAGCAAGGTAATAACGATTTTTAAAATTACTCTTAATAAAAGTACAAATTCCAGTGCTACAGGGACTTACTTCATCTGCTTCACAATGGTGCTTTTTCCTGATTCTCCAGCCCCTGTTGGGATACAGACAGAAGGAAAAAACTGGTGAGTGTCAGTTTAGGGGACCGTGGAGGGGGCTTAAGCATGCGAGGGGTGAGCGATCCTAGGCACATGGTGGTGCCAACTCAGGGGCCAGATCTCCAGGGGCGCAAGTGGGGTAGGGGAGCTGGTGGCAGAGGCTGCGCTGTGGCCAGGGTCGGGGAATGGGGGAGGCAGCAGCGTTTCTTACCCAGCAGGAGTAATTTCACATCTTTGGCGGCGCTGATACCATCCTCTTTGAGGTTTTTCTCAATCGCTTTGCTCCGCTCGAGGGCGGCTCTCTCCTCAGCGCTCAGAGTACATCCCATGGTGGTGGCCCCTTCCCTGCCACAGCCCGCACGACTCGGCTGGCTCGGCTCCCCGGCTCGACGCGCCCCCCCCACCCCCCCCAGAGAGCAGAGCCTGGGCTCAAAGGGGGAAAAAATCACGATGTCCTCTCCTTGGGTGGGAACAAAAAATGCCGAAAGACCAAAGACCCCCCCAAATCTGAGCCGCTATCAAGATCCAACAGTAGAGACTCGCGGCAGCCGGCAGGGGTCTGGGGGTGCGGGGGCGAGGGTGGCCCGGGTCTGGCGCTCCCGAGCCAAGGGAGGAGGCGCCCGAGGGCCGAGAAGGCGCGGGCTGCAGGCACTGAGGCTGGTGCACGACCCAAAATAAATAAAATAAGAGTCGAGGCTGGGTCCGCAGCCGGAGCCGGGAGAGGGTGGGGTGGGGGGCAGGGTGGGTCCTTCTGCCGCGGCTGCCGGAGGAGGCGGAGGAGGAGGCGGAGGCGGAGGTGGCGGCGGTGGCGCTGGGTGTGGAGGGCGTGAGTTAGGGGGTGCTGCTATTGCGTGTGCATCGCCGGGGCTCCGTCTTCGGTGCGTCCACGGCTCCTTCGCCGACCCCGGCGAGCTGGGCAGGGTTGGGCAGGGGGCCGGGCCAGGGGGTAGGGCTCTAGCAGGAGGCGGCGTCGCTGTCTCCCACAGCTTGCATCGCTCAGCGAAGCCCGTTCGAGGTTGGGGGAGCGTGAAGGAGCCGCGGCCGGCGGGGAGCTCGAGGGAGAAGCAGAGAGAGACCGAGGCAGGGAGGGAGGGAGGGGGACAAATGAAGAGACAGCAAACGAGCGAGCGAAGGCGCGCGCACGCCGGGGCCGGGACTCGGGAGGGGGCGAGCGCAGCGCGCGAGTGCGCCAGCGGCTCAGTGCACCCGGCTCCGCGGGCCGCCCGCTGACGTCAGCAGGTCCGCACGCCGGGCCCCCGGGACAGGCCGGGCGGAGACGGGGGCGGCGCGCGCCAGAGCCCGCGTCAGCCGCCGGTGGCGCGCACGCGCTCGCACAGCGTGGCTCCCCCAACCTCGCTACCTCCTAGCCAGCGTTAGGCGCGGGCGGGGCGCGGGAGGACTGCCTGGGGATCGGGGGCGGGGCCTCTGGCTGGGTAGGTGGGGCCCGGGGCGGGGACTGAGCACTAGCGCGGCCATGCGCCCCACCCCGCCCACGGGGCTTCCTCCTCAATGGGAGAGCGGGGCTGCGCAGCCGGTACGGCGGTCAGGTGGCCAGCGCGGCCTCTGCGGCTCCCTGCCCGCTCCGAGACTCGGGGCTCACCTTCAGCTGCTCGCCTGACGGCTGTCTCTAAATCTGCTGGGCCTTAGCCGAGGCCGTGTTACCTTAGCAAGCGTGCGGAGATGGTGGGTCGGAATCAACCAGCGCGCCCCGTACTTCAGCTAAGAGCCCTGGGGCAGCTTGAGTTCGCATTTATTGAACACCTAATTTGTGAGAGAAGAGGCAGCTGAAACAAAACTAGGGCCTGTTCTCCAGGAGCACCTGCCTCCTTTGGTCTCCATTCACCCTGCTGCGAGATCCCAAAACCCCGCTGTGTGTGCATGAGGTAGATATCGCCCCGCAGGCCCTGGGCCCCACTGCGGAGGGGTCCGGCTTTCAAGGGCGCCTCTGGCAAATACTTTGTGCACCCTTTAAATGCTTCTGCAAATGTTGAACCATCCAGTTTGCCCAGATCTCTTGTCCTGCCCCTTCCGAAAACACAAACCTGTAAGATAGGTTTTTGGTAAGAGATTTTCTTCCTCTCCTCATCAGAAAGGAAGGAAAGAAGGGCAAGAGAGAAATACATCTTTACCCTCATCTGTTCTCACACGGAGGCACAGAAACCCGGGTCGGTTACTCGATGTACTCTTCGTCAAACACAGTAGACAGTTGCCAAGATTGGGCATGTTGTGGGTGGTCTGTGAGACACTGAAGAAACTAATTCTTACTGTACAAAGTAGTTCTACAATCAGTTCCACCAGACAGCCCCAGGGGCCCTCCTAGAGAAAGGGGCCAGTGGGCAAGGTTGTAAGAGAATAAAACAGGCAAGGGGCCAGAGAAAAACATTTTTCTGGCAATGGGGCATTTCTGTGGCTTTGAAAGCAAACTTGTTTGTTTCGACAGCAGAAAAAACACTCCTGTTTTGAAAATGTTACCCAGCATGAAAATGTATTTGCAGTGGAGGATAAAGAAGGCAATTAAGGCCCACCCAGAAGAAAATATTTTTTCTTTGAAGTTTTTAAATTTGGTATTTCCCAGTGTGGGTCCACCTTATTTATAAATAACTATGTCAAAAGTTGCATGTGATGTAATTTAAATATTTAGATGTGAATCATGGTCTATGTATTTTAGGAAACTGAGTTTTATACAGTAAATAACTGTTTCCCTAGCACACTCATCCTGCTTCTCGTTGCTTGTTTGTGATTGGGGGGAAAGGAGTTAGAGCAATGATGGTGAACCTATAGCAGGTCAAGGGCATCGGGCACGCAAAACATTCTTCGCTGGCACGTGAGCCAAGTGTGTGAGTTGCTTTTTTCTAAACCAGCCAACCTCAGTATGCAGGTTAAAGGCCATGTTGGCACGGTATGATAAGCAAATGGGTTTAGCATTATAGTTTGGGCACTCTGTCTCTAAAAGATTCACCATCCTGGGTTAGGTGATGAATCTAGTTTGGCTTAAAATCAGAATTATCAGTAAGAATCAGCTTTCCAGAGCTTAGGTACCCAACATTCCATAGCATTTTGTTATTTCCTTTAGAAGTTGCTAGGGTGATTACACAGGTCTACCAGATGCAGAGAACACTTCAGCGACTTCACTCAGGTTCTATTTCTACAAGGCTGCATTTGAAAGGTGGAAGAGGTAAGGAAGGGTGTAACTGTTGATAGGTCACATTTTATATTTTACGTTTTAGTGCTCTTTCATTTAAGATTTTAGAGTTTGAGGGTCATCCTGGGTAATTGAATAGAACTATCCCTGACTTTAGATATATTTTAGATATATTTCTTCTTTCTTGATATTAGACCTAACACAATGGGGGCACAAACCTGTTCTGTGTTTTTCTTTACTCAGTAGTCCCTAAGCACTTACTATTGCATATGTGGGGTCATGTGTTAGGCTCTGTAAATGTTATATTTCAGGTTTGCCTATCCTGTTTTCATTTTCTAGGTCATTTTGCATCTTTATGACTGGGTTTCATAAAAGACTAGTAATAATCCGCTTCATCTGTATAGTGCTTTACAGCTTACAGAGCACTTTTACAAAAATTATCTGATGTGATCCTCCAACATAAACCTCAGGCACTGTGGTGTGGGGAGCCTCATGGCTGAGTGAAAAGAGCCTAGACCATGAATATAGATTGATAAGAAAAAAATTCTGAGATGCCCTACATTTACTCACAAAGGACCAAGGGATAAAAGGGAAGAGAGCTGGGGAGAGATTAATGAACAACAAATCACAGGCCAAAAAGAACAAAAGACTGTTTTCATGTTCTTGAATGTTTGTTGTGACTGCATATATCAGTGATAGGGAATCTTTTAAAGCTTTCTGTAATAATGACCAGCTGTGGCACCCATCCCATAGGTTCACCACCACTGCACTAGATGATATTGTATTTCACTTCAGCTCTAGCCAAGCCCAGGGTGTAATCACTAATTCTCCTTATAGATTGTCTTCCTGTCTTAAAGCTTAAATTAAAGGGTGGAGTAATCTCACCCTTCAATAGCGATTGTAGCGTCAGTGTAATTTGTACCTTCCTTTTCCATTATTTTATTATAAAATACTAAGGTTTCTTAGATCTAGATGTTTTCCAGCTGTTACCTAACCTCCATGCTGACAGTTGCAAGACCTTATTCCAGGACCTGATCTTTTCCTGGCTAGCATCTGCAATAGCTCAATGAATCCATTTTTAAAGAAATTATTATTTTTTATTTTAAAGAGAATAAAACAAAACAAACGGAACAAAGAACATCAGAGCAAAACAATACAAGTAACACAGGATTTCAAAACAAGACACCAGGAAATCAATAGTGGCTACCATAATGTCTCTTGTTTTCTTCAAAATAGTTGTCCATACCTTCACACCCAATAAATAAATACAAAACAAAATAGCATAAAACCAATCAAAACAAAATAATGAGAGCTTTATGGACCTTTAAAACCACACAGTAGAAATCAGTAATAGCTACCATAATGTCTCCTGTTGTCTTTGACATAGCTGTCTTTACTTTCATACATATTGAAATCAAATAATAGAAAATGGATTAAAACCAATCAAAACAAAGAATAAAAGCATTATTGGACTTCAAAACAAGAAGATACAAAATCAGCAATGGCTACCATGATGTCTTATATTCTTCAGTGAAGTGGTTCATACTGGCACACATATTAAAATCAATTCTTGCAAAGTCTTTAGGAGAAATTCTAGGCATATATGAACTTATACATGTACATCTATCCTTTCCTGTATTAAAGGGAAAAAAACAAAGCATAAGAAAATAAAGAAACAAAAGAGACATAAATAACAATAACAAAGACCCAAAACAATAACAATGTAGGCTTTCAAAACAAGGTGGTAGGAACATAACAAATTTTGTTGTTTTGCACAGTTATCTTCAAAATTGTTACTCAAATTACCACATATAGACATGTAAAATCGATGTAATCCTGTAAATGTTAACTGTTTTGTTCCCAAAACTAATTAGTAGCATGATCATCTTAGTAATCTTAAGTGTATATATATACAAATTTATGTCTGTTTTCTTTCTTTCTTGTTTCATTTTCCCTGAGTTGTTTTTTCCTCTTTGAGTAGTTTCTTACCCTTTCATCATATTTGTTGAAGATTTTGTATCTTATTTACTCTTACACTAGTTTCTTACACTAGGGAGAGAATATGCTATTTATACATGTGAGTTTGATTTATTTCACTTATGTGTATGGTCTCAAGTTGCAACCACTTATAAAATACTCAATGTGGTCCTTATTTATCACTGAGTAGTATTCCATTGTATAAAAAATATTACGTCCTTTTTATCCATTACTCAGTTGATAGACATTTGAGTTGTTTCCAAGATT